CAAAATTGTATTTTACATTATTTTTAATATTAAAGCTATATTTCCATCCCTTAGGCAATGCAATTATTCCACTGTTTTCTCCAGTGCATGTCACTGTGTGACTCGCAGCATTATATATGAGATCTCTACTGAAACTATATCTGACACTTGATTTTCTTCCTCATATTTTCATGTTGGTGGTTCAATCACTTACTGTTTGTTTATAGTGCAACCAGCAGGCAAATTCTTCTTTTTGGTCTCAAAGCAGTCAGCTACTTCTTATTCCATTGAATAATATTATTAACTGTATTTATTTAATAATAATATTATTAATATTATTATTATTCATATTAATAATATTATAAAAAGTAATATTGTGAAACATTATTGCAATTCAAAATTACTGTTTTCTGTTTTAATATTTTTTTAAATTTAATTCTTTCCTGTGATGCTTTTTTAAATGGATTTAAATATATTTTTATGTAACAATGTAAAAATCTGTACTGTCATTTTTGATCAAATTAATGCATCCTTTATTTTCTTTAAAAAATAGTACAGTAGTTTTAATAATTACCAATTTGAATAAATTCTGCTTGTTAAATCAAGCCAGATGGTTGATGACGATTACCTTAAGGCACAGATTTAAATGACTTTGGGCGTTAAAACATAATTGTTCATGTCCTTTTCATCAGTGTTAGACTATCAATTAATCAATTTTAATTAAACTATGTATTATGTTGCAGTTCCTATTAAAAGAAAATAACAAATTTTATTTGCATTTGGTGTCTAGTGAATGCAAATTTAGGACCCTGAACGTTCATACGTGAAGTGAACTGTATTGAAGCCTGAAAGCCAATTGCAAAGCCCTTGGACATATCTGTAATTACACTCACTCCATTTTCCATACACTTTACCAATTAAAAGTCTACACCTCATCCTATTTAAGATCTAGCTGTCTCCAGCCACGAAGGAAATCACAAGAAAAGATGTTAAATCCAGCAGCTAAGCAAAACTCTCATTTGAACCCTATAGAAACTACATATTTATTGATTCCCCCATTTCCACTTGGGTTCATAAGTGTATGTGCGACAGTTTCCTGCTGAGCCAGAGCTGGTTTGGCCGTATATAGATGCCATATGCTTCCTGCTGCAGAGCTCAGGGCCACAGCGGGGTCTGTGTCCTAATTGAACTGTAATTGACTCAGCAGCAGGGAAGGTCAGTTTGTCACTGAGCACTGCATACAATAAGTCGTCGAGCACTGTTACTTGATATGACCAGTTATGACTCATGCCACAGAGTATTCAGAGATACTCTTCTACTCTAATTAGGAATGCACACACATAAGCATCATATCAAGTGAAGTAGAGAAAGCGTACATACTCAGTGACGTGGATTGACACTGACACTAAAGTAATTACCTAATGTAGCTGACGCCATTGATTCTTGGCTTTCTGTCTTGTATGTGAAAACTAATTAAAGACAACAGTAATTTTACTGTCCTCACGATCCTGTTCTATACACAAGTTTTGGAGGGGAAAATGTATATTTGCCCTTTTTTATTTCTGCAAAACAAAGTCATTTTATTTATTAAGATTTGATTTTAAAATGTATTTTTAAAAATGAATATTTATGTATGTATGTATTTGTTATTTACACCACCTTCAAATCTTTGGGGTCAGTAATATATATATATTTTTATTAATACTCGTATTTAGCAAGGATACATTAAATTGAGAGTAGTAAAATAATTTATAATAATAATAATAATTACAACAAAAATATTAAGCAGCTAAATATTTCAATTCAGTTTTGCCATCACAAGAATAAATTATATATTAAAACATAAAACTGTCATTTTGAATTGTAAAAATATATCACAATATTTCTTTTTTTTTTCAGAAAAAAAAACCTTCAAAAAACCTGACCCCGAACATTTGAACAAATAGTTAATGGTTTGTTAATAGCAAGAGTTGGACCTTAAAATAAAGTGTGACCCAGCATCCTTGCTAAATAAGAGCATTCTCCTTACTATTGTTATTTTGAATCGTATACTGTACATATAAATGAATATAAAATCAACAAATCAATATAAAATATAATATAACAGTTTTAAATGTGTCATATATTATTAGGAAAATATTAGCTTTCTTTTGAGTTTACTTTTTTTTCCATTCCACACTATATTGTACAGTACCATACCATTCAACACTGAACCATATGCCATGCAATACTGTTCTATTCCAAACCATATTATCATGGTAGTAATGGAGCAGTACAGAAACACACACACCGTTTTTAGGTGCATTTGGAGTGATTAGACTGAGCTGAGGACCTCTCTCATCTATCTGAGAGGGTTAATTGACTACTGTTTGTCTGAAACAGATGTTCCAGTTCAGATCTACAATTATTAAGTGAATCTTTACAGTCAAGTGTCTTTTAGAGTTCTCTCTCTATGTCACTATACAATATTTTGTCTTTATCTCTCCTGCTTTTTATCATGTTCTGTCTGTTCTCTATTTCCCTCCTCTTCTCTCTCCTAAGTAACGGATTTGACATGGTGGGAATGAGGCAGACGTAATTTAGCTTGAGTGGAATCAGCCACGGCTCTTTGTGCAGCAAAGCACCGAGTGTCCTGTTCATCTCTTTAAATGTTCTCCTCGAACAGAGCGCACACTTCATCCAGTCAGCTCTAACGAGCACCAATGAATTCACTTCAAGAGCCTGCATGGATATTTTTTCCCCCTCAGGAAGGTGTTTATGTGTGCCTTAGAGACAGACGAATAAAACGAGACAAAGAGGGAGCGAAACAAATACGGAGTAAGGATTTCACAGGTTTAGCTTTTCGTGTAAATGTGTTCACTGTCTCCAGGGGCGTATTTTTCTTCTACTTCTTCTCGCTTTCTCTGATTGATTGTGCTAAAACTTTTATACAGAGATTTTTAATCAAAATCTGTATAATCAGCATAACAATGTACGCAACATAGATGATGCTCAATTATTAGAGGATACTTAAAATAATGTGTTTAAAATGTCCAACATAAGAAGCACATGATGCTGTTCACAAACAGTTTTTAGTTGCAAGGGATTGTTCGATCAGTAACAGTTGACAGAGCTTTTGTGGAGGAAATTAATATATGCTCTTGAATTAAATTTAAACTAGCTACTTTATGGAAATAAATGACTATGTATACGTAATTTAATATATATTGAAATTACCATTTTAATTCATGAACTACTTGTTGCAAAAACGGACACTGCAAAAACTAATGTAAGAGACATCAAAACAATTTCAAACAACTTGAAATGCAGGTTGCACAAAATATTTATGTGAGATTATAATATGATTTCTCTTGATTGATAAAATGTTATATTTCTGATGACAATTGTTAGAAAAAATATATAATTCAATCATGACAACTCTCGATTTTAGCATGGTGATGGATATGACAATGTTAATGTATTTGGTCTTGGAGGATCAGATCTGCTACGCTGCTGCTGTTGGTTATTGCTGTAGTTGTAGATTATTGCTGCTGCAAGCAAGTACAGGAACTTGCTACTGCCAATGCATATGGTGATACGGTGCCATGAGTATTTAAGACATACTGCTGCTGCACAAATAGCATATACAATAACCCCGTAGCAGATCTATACAGGTGAAGCTGGGGAAGGTGGAGGATTTCAGAGAACTCTAAAAGTGTGTTGCAGGAATCTCAAGTGAATGCTAGCCAGCCATATAAATGCAAGGCAGTAAACTCATTGGCTGCATATGCAGCATGAACCAATCAGCTTGTGTCAAGTTGTTTAACTCTCTGAATATCATCAGTTACGTTAACACCCCATCAGAATACGCCATCTAGAGTTTCATGACTGAACTATATATTTATCATCAATAAATGTGAAAGGTCCTAAATTGTAGGATGACTCAGGTGTGTTATGCTTGATGTAGGGGTGAGCGGTATACCAGTACGATAAACCAGTAGAATTTTGTCAACTGATAGAGATTTTGGACTATCGTCTCTATCGCAGTTAAATGCTCACATGACAATGCTGTGCTACGTGGTCATGAAATCTTATCATTTTCACACATTTTTAAGCATTGCGGTTTAAAAACAAGTGATTTAAGCCATTGAAATGCAATCAGCAGCGAAAGAGAACTAATTCGCCGTCAGAGAGGCGCACACATGTGAAGACGGTGCTCATAGACCGTGGGCTATTTGCCACTTTTTAGGCCTTGAACGGTTCAGTTCACATACTTGTATGTGTCAAAATGCCCGTCTTTGCAAGTATCCTTGTAAACACAGTAATTTAGGTCTGAAGTGAAAGCAAACAGCAGAGAAAGAAAACACATGTACTGTATATTGGATCCGGGCAGCTCTTAAAGTCACAGCAGTCTAATATTCCTGCTGTCTGTCATTCATGTTAATCAAACAACAAAAGATAAAATCTCTCATTGCTCTCGACTAAATCACTTTTGTAACTTTAATTTAAGAAATACTGTATACATTTAATTTACACAGTGAAGAATATGCATTGTTTTATATATTTGATTACTTTATACAATGTATGTTATTGTTATACTGCAGTTTTTGTCCTATTGCTTGTAATTAGTTTCTTATTCTTATTTAATCACTGACTAATTACTTGTCTTCAGTGAGCTTGAGTTTGTTGACAAGAATTATGACATTTCTATGGAATCAAAAATGTTGATATCAAAAAGCAAAAATAGGTATATTGTGATATATATTGTTACCGTGAAATAAAATTACTCGTATCATAATATAAGATTTTGCCCACCCCCTAGCTTAATGTATAAATTATCACATACTTAGATTGAAGGAGGTTCTAGAAACCTAAATTTTACAGACTTTAACCAAGTGTTCTTCAGACCTCTTGTACCTGGTGTCTAATTTTCCACAAAACATAAGACATCTACATAAGACCTCTTAAATTTCTCGAACTAACTAACTAGCTATTGTGTATATTTCTTCTCTGCAGGTTAGATACCAACAGGCTGACAAAAGATGGCATTTCTGAAGGGTGAGATTACCTTTGTCTTCTCCCTGTGGGCTTCCCTCCTTTATGTAGCACTAATGTCCCTTCCACTGGGGGCAGAGGCACCAAAAAGAAGCCAGTACATCTGGAAAACAGGTGAGTTGCCAATATTTTCAACATTAGCTTTTTCTTTGGTCGACAGAATGAAATTCATTTATGTGGCCCCTAGCTGAATTATGAGTGTTTTTCTACCATGATTACTTGTTTCTGTCATCATTCACTCACTGTCATGTTGCAACAGTACAAACCTGTATGGCTTTCTTTCTTCTTTAGAACACAATAGAATATGGCCACTATTTTTTATATGAAAGTGATTCATTGAAATGATATGACTCAAAAGATGTGTTCAGATACTTCTCTCATAGGGAGCTAAGGCTTTATATCTAACATTTGGTCTTTTGTCAAACCAAAGCAATCATATGGCTTCAGAAGTCTTAGGAATATAGCACACAAGATACTTTTATGCTGCTTTTTTGGTCATTTTTGGATCCTGACACCCCAGTCCTCATTTGCTTTCAAGAATGGCCAAGATCACCTTTCTGAGCTCTACAGAAGAAACAAAAGTGACATCATTTTTGCATTAATTGTTTCTTTAACAGTGCACAGGGTAAATCTTCACACAGACAAAAATGCAACGATTATTTCAAGGTTTTGAGAAATTAAACTAAAGACACAGCTTGTGTTTGTAAGATCCATCCACAGAATGAGCCAGAGAATTCTAACACATTTTTGCCGTTTCTCTGTGGTCAGATCCAGTTGAAGAAGTCACTTATTAGGATTGCATAATCTAATGTGTGAATGACAGTGTTTGGTACTGTACAGGCAGTCGAGAAGCAAGGTAATGCACATTTCTGTTCTGCATTTGATAGAGGAGAACAGACGTGGTAAATAAAAAATGGTCCAGGTTGGATATTGATCCTTGTTGTCACAGATCTTGGATCAGCAGGCATGTATGTACAGCACTTCAGAAAATCGTGAGACCATCTGCCTGTGTTATCTGTGAAGTCTGATCAATCTTATATCCAGCTGGAGTTGCACAGAGAATTCCTCATGTCGCCATGGCAACAATTGTTAAGTGTGAGATTGACAGCTCGCAAAGAACAGAAGATTATTACTTGGCCTATTAATGCCGTCCGGCGCATCCTAGCTACTGTGAGCTTACATTTCAAGATGCCGCAATTAAGCACTTCTCCAAAACTTGTAACAAAACATCCAACATATGGCTGTGAAGACCTCAGGTAGGAAGTTCATATGAGGCAACTGTCATTCTCAATAAATAAATACAGAAATGAGTATCCCTCAGTTTCTCTGGCTGGATGCAGGGACCAAATTGTGGGAGGTTTAGGTGATCTGACAGCCTTTGTTCAGATTAAATTATTCCATGAGAAAAAAGTATCCAGTAACAGGGAGATGAAGTATTCAGATGGTCATGAGATCTGAACATGGAGGCCATTAAAACAGCTTTTAATAGGATATGTTTAGAATGTTAATTTTATGTAGGTGTTATCATTTTAAAACATTTTTACAATGCATTTCTTTGTGTAAAACATTTTTAAAGTAGAAAAATAACATATTAAATAGTGTATTCTCACATATAATTTAAAAATATTTTTTGAAAGAAATAAATACTTTTATTCAGCAAGGATGCATTAAATTGATCAAAAGTGACAGTGAAGACTTGGGGGAAAAATCAAATTCAAATAAATGGTGAGCTAACCGTAGCTGCAAATGAAAAAACACCTGCAAATGAAGAAAACAACTTCATCAATTTGACAACACACACGCTGCAAATAATCACAACACAAACAAATGAAGCACGCTGCAAGAACAGAAACGCGCTGCAAAGACCACCTCGGAAATGTTTAAGGTAACAGCAAATGGCTGGGATATGTTTATCAATGTTTGCTCCGAAAGGTGAGATTTTTGTTTATTTTAACATCCTGCTCATACGATTCCTTATAGCTTTTTTTTTATTATTAGCCTAAATAAGCTGACGAAATACACAATTAGGCTACTGTTACTGTGAAAGGTTATGTAAGCTGGCTAACTTACTTTTACTACTTCCCTTACAAAAATTAACCATAGCCTATGGTTTTACAATTACAATTAATTAATTAATACATTTATTATATAAAAAATAAATAAAAACAAAAAATGGTTATTATAGCCACGGTATGCACAAATTAACCATGGATATACACTAACCATAGTTTAACCATGGTATTTGTATAACTGTGGTTATACAAGTGGTAATCAATACGGTAAAAAATAAATAAATAAAATGATTAATTTTCGTTTTGTTGGGGTCATTTTATTGTGGTCTGTGCTACTTGCATGTTTGTTTATTTGTTTGTGTTGTGAGCATTTGCGGCGCATTTCTGTTTTTGCAACGCACTTTTTTATTTGGTGGTGTTGCTAGTATTTGCAGCTCATGTGCTGTCAAACTGATGAAGATGTTTTCTTATTTGCTGGTGCTTTTTCTATTTGCATGTGTTTTCTGAAGATCAAGTGCGTCAAGCTCTCTCAGCCACCGTATCAACTTTCTATTCATCAAAGAATCCTGAATCATGCTTTTCAAAAACCTATTAAGCTGTTTTCAAAATTGAAAATAATAAGAAAGGAGTAGCAAATCAAAAATTTAAAATTCAAAAAAAGAAGTTGACAAAAGTAGAAAATTCAACTTTGACATCAAAGGAATAAATTGTATTTTTAAATATATTCAAATAGAAAACACTTATTTTAAATTGTAAAAAGTTTTCAGAATAATTATATTTTTACTGTACATAAATACATAAATGCAAAACAAATCCAGCCTTGGTGAGCATAAGAGACTTTTTTCAAAAACATTTAAAAAAGCTTACTGACCCCAAACATTTTGTTTTAGCAAGCTTATATTTCAACAGAATTAATTATTCAAAAAAATCTAAATAAATATCACAGTTTTCTTTTAAAAGATGATAACTAGTTGATCTATGGCCACCAATTGACAGTTTATTTTAAAAGGTTTACTCACTTATTGTAAAATTCAAACACTGGATGTATGTATGGATGGATCAAAAGGTGTCCAGTGCTGATGAAGGCAACTGTAAAAATGCTTTATGGACAAAGTAGTGATGATAAGGATGTAGAAGTTTCATGTGAAGCGGTGGTCAGTTCTCGGAGACTCTGAGAGAGTTTCCTCACGTGCTGTGTGCGGATCGAAGAGCAGCTCTACAGGGCCACGGGGGTGATGATTCCTGGAATGTAAAATCGATACTGGTTTCATCCGGAAGGAGTGGGTCCACTTTCGTACTGTCTATGAAGAAACGCTCATTTGTCCACCTAAACACTTGCTTTTGTACTCAAGGTCTAATTTTCTTCACCTTTTTTTGTGCTTAATTTTGTTCAGTTTCCCTGTTCTGGAAATGAGAAAACTGTGTGCAGCCAAAAAAGCTAATTCTGGAGTTTAAAGCACTCTGGTGGCTTGAAAACTTCATTTTGAACCAGTTTCCCTGGAGTTCTTCTATTTGACGTCACAAGCTGGACAGATAATGACTCTGTCTCGCAAAACAAGAAGGTGGAAATTAACCTTCAAGAGAGAGATGAAGACGGCTACCATAATGTGGTCTCAAACAGGGATGGACTGGGAGTAAAAAACGGCCCTGGATTTTCTCCCAAATAGGCCCACCACAACTACAAACAGTCGCTACTATCTCACAATATTACAGCAATCCTATCGCATTTTTGGAAAATAACATCACAAAACCCATGGTGACCCTGCTGACAAAAACGATAACCATTACAATACCATTACAAACCATCAACTTTTAACCATTAAAACCATTAAATAATGGTTTCCTGTAGTGTGTTTTGGGACTAATTACATTAGGATTTAGTGGCTTTAACAAAAGCCACCAACAGAAGGTGACCAATTACCAGAGACCAACAGTCACCATTACAGTTTCCATTAAAATCAATACAAGTCCCATAATAACCAGTAAAACCATTAAAAATTATGTGATGGTTTCTATTTTTTTCAGCAGGGGATTTAAATAAATGTATTATTGTATGAACTAAAATACTTTCAATCTACATAAAAAGAGCAGAGAGCAAAATGTATAATATAACAATGATAAACATAAACCTAGAATATAGTAACAACTGAATTCTTCACTTTGAGTATTCATGTCTGTGAGGAACAGTTTTAGTTCTAGGAACTCCATTTGGAGGAACTAAATTAGCTCCTACTTCAGTTATACTGTTGCTGGATTCACTTTATACAGTGAAAGCCCTGATAACACATCACCATGATGATAAAAAATACACAATATATTTTGTTTTTGTTTTTTTACGTGGCATGAACAGAACCAAGAATGAAATATGACTGCCTATATGATAAGACAGTGGTGACCTCTCACTCTATAAACTCTATAAACATTTTTGAGGATAGCATATGACAAAAAACAACCCAGTCTCATAAAAATACGTACCTCTGCGTACATTTC